GAGACCTGTAGGGTCCTCAACAATGCAATGGGGATACTTGCCCCTGGCCCCCGTCTGTATCTCACCACTTTTGAGAACGTTGATTTGATCGCATTTCTAACCATGGGGAAATATCCTAAGCTTCTCATAGCCAAGTGGTGTTCCCAGAATCTTCCCCACATTCCACCACATGTCTGCCGCTGTCACTGTTAGAGGTTGGGTCTGGTTGGGAGCCAAGAAAATCTTACGAATTTCAAACCAGAAGACTTTTGTGCAACTTATCTTTCAGTGTTCTTACTGCCGTATTTTCAAGCCCCAGGCTTGGCCGATGAGGCAAATGCAGCTGTGTTTTCTTGCTGAGCAGCAGATGTCCATCCACCGACTGATGGGGAGAGTCTTTTAAAACCACAGCACAGATTGACGCCGCGGAAGAAAGGGACGCGATTTGCCTTCAGTCAGGGAATGCAGCTGGCTGGCTCCCCTGAAGAGTATCTGGGCTGGGTTTCATTCAACCTTGCAAATACCTTTTCAGCCACTTATCCAGGACACTGCTGGATGTTAAATAATGAATTTAAAATTACCCCACAGAAATTTAGTCAAAGGACTTAAAGAATCCAATTGCAAAAGAGGAGATACAAAAGGCTTGGAAGTACGTAAAATTATGTAGTGCTTCATCAATTATTTTTAAAAGACAAATTAAAATGATAATAAGGAACCATTTTATCCCTAATTAAATCACCACTGATATTGTAGAATTAGACCAACAGTTTTGGAAAATGGACAATAAGCACATTTATCCACTGAAGGTGGGACTATGAAATGATACCTTTCTGGCAGATTACTTAGAAACATTGCGTCAAACCCTGTAGAATGTATCCATCCTTTGACTCAGCAGTTCCACTTCTAGGAATCTATTTTAAGGAAATAACCAATGCTTACCTTTTTGTCACATGTGGAACGATCTATATTGCTGCATTGTTTAAATAGAAAAAATCTAGGGGCGGCCCAGTGGCTTGTCAAGCCATGGAGTGGCATGTGTCCCATATATAAAGTAGAGGAAGATGGGCATGGATGTTAGCTCAGGGCCAGTCTTCTTCAGCAAAAAAAAGAGGAGGATTGGCAGCAGATGTTAGCTCAGAGTTAATCTTCCTCAAAAAAAAAGAAAGAAAAAATCTAGAAACAATGCAGTTGAACAATGTGAACATAAGAATGTTATGATATGTACATATATAGAATATTACGGAATCCCATGCAGCTCTGAAGAACCATTCAACATAATAGGACTTGGCAAACGTTTTCTATCAAGTGCCAGAGGGTAAATATTTTAGGCTTTGTGGGCCAAGAGACAAAATCAAGGATCTTATGTAGTACTTACAATAAATAGAGAAAACAAATTTCCACAAAATTATTTTATTTTTTTTTTTTAAAGATTTTATTTTTTCCTTTTTCTCCCCAAAGCCCCCCGGTACATAGTTGTGTATTCTTCGTTGTGGGTTCTTCTAGTTGTGGCATGTGGGATGCTGCCTCAGCGTGGTCTGACGAGCAGTGCCATGTCCGCACCCAGGATTCGAACCAACGAAACACTGGGCCGCCTGCAGCGGAGCGCGCGAACTTAACCACTCGGCCACGGGGCCAGCCCCCCACAAAATTTTTATTGACAAATTCAAAATGCAAGAATGATTAATTTTTTGGTAACACATGCCTACTAGTGAGAATAATCTCATTCTTTTTGAACTAATAACATTTTGCTTAATTGGGGTTCACAGTCAGTTTTCCTTATCATCAAAGCGATTTCAAATGTTCACCTATAAAAAGCATTCTTAGCTTGCAGACTGAAGAAAAACAGAGAGCAAGCCAGATTTGGCCTGTCTGTGATTTGCCGACCCCAGCATTTCCCAGCGCCCTGTGATTCCATGTGACCATATGACCAGTCCTGGTGAATGGGTCTCAGGTGGAAATAACACACATCACTCCAAGGCCACAGGCTGGGAGAAAATATTTGCAGGTTGTATATCTGACTTCTATCTAGAATACATTTTTTAACACTCTCAAAACCCAATAATGAGAAAACTAATAACCCAAGTTTTAAAAATGGCCAAAAGATTTGAACGGACACTTCAACAAAGAAGACATGTGGATTGCAAATAAGCACGTGAAAAGATGCCCAACATCATTAGCCATTAGGGAAATGCAAATTAAAACCACAATGTGATATTATTTCACATCTATTAGATTGGCTTAAATAAAATTTTTTAAAACTTAAAACTTGACCATCCCAAACGTTGGGGAGGAAAAGAAGCAACTGGAACTCTCGCATGTTGTTGATGAGAATGCAAAATGGTACACCACTTTGGAAAAGTTGGGCAGTTTTTTATAAAGTTAAAGGTATTTATCATATGACCCAACAATCCTGCTCCTAGATATTTACTCAAGTGAAATAAAGTCGATATTCACACAAAAACCTGTACCTGAATGTTTATAGCACCTTTATTTGTAATCGCCAAAAACTGGAAACAACCCAAATGCCCTTCACCCAGAGAATGGTCAAGCAAATGTTGTATATCCATACAAGGGAATACCACTCGGCAATGAAAATGAATGGAACTATTGATAAATACAACGACATGAATGAATCTCCACTGTATTTTCTGAGTGAAAGGAATCAGACTCAAAAGGTTACGTGTTGTGTGAGTCCATTTATATTACGTTGTGGAAAAAGCAAACCTGTGGGGCTGGGAAGAGATGGCTGTGGGGGGATGGGTGATGGGTGCAGTGGATTGACTAAGGGGCAGCATGAGGGATGTTTTGGTGAGTTGATAGAACTATTCTTTATCTTGACTATGGTATTTGTCAAAACTCATTAAACTGTATGCCAGAAAAGTGAATTTTACAGTATGTAAATTTAAAAATAAATTTTTTAAGAAGTTTTTAATTCTCATACATGAAGAAAGAAAGAGACACAAACACCACTGCTTGGACCACTGAGCCAAGCTCAGTCCAGAGACCTGGCCTGGCTTCTGGCCCCTCCCTGGGTCCAGCATGAGTGTAAATGGAGGCAGAGGCCCTGGGAGGATGTTGACGAGCATTGTCCACTAGTGCGAGACCTTCAGGCAAAGGGAAGCCTGAAGTCGCCAGAGCTGTCCAATGGACACCTTCAGTGAAGATCTAGAAAGACGTCTTCCAGCACCTGACTCTTGCCCTTTGCACAGTCTAGGCAAGCAGCTCCCTGTGTTTGTAGGCAGAGTTTCTGCCGCATCCACCTCGTTCTCCATTTCTCTCTTTTAGACTCGAATCCTCTTGAGCAGATGCAAATGCAAGTCAGGGAAAGACGTCAAAAACTCCTGTCTGAATCAGCAGCCTGGGCTGAATGTCCAGCTGAGCCCAAGTAGAGTATAAAGAGGTGACGACAGGTACTACAAAGGTGCTCCTGCCAGTCCTTGCCTTCCACACAGCCATGTTCTTCCGGAATCACACACTCAAAGCCTGCACTGCTGGTCCAAGTCATTCTGCGGCTTAAGTGACATGAAGTGCAATGCCTGCCCCCAAGCAACAGCAGGCACAGGTTGGCTGCTGACTCTTGTCAGTGTGGCTTTCATTCTGCCTCTTGCTCCTAAGGGCTGCACCCTGGGATGGGAGCCCAGGCTGAAGGCAGAAGGTCAAACAGTCAACTAGCGTTTCACGAGCACCTGTGTGGCCCAGTATCCTGCCCCAGTCTGTGGAGGTACTCCTTTCCACTGTGCCCCTCAGAGCCTCAAAAGGTTCAAAGAGGCCGTGGGCTTCTGCAAAGGAGCCTTCAGGGAAAGCTCAGTTCTGCACAGAACCAGCCCCTCAGCAACTGGGGAAGGTGTGGGTCTTCCTCACCCAAGCTTCCAATGAGCTTGGCACCAAGTGCAGGCTTGAGCCACATCTGCGGAAGAACGAACGAATGCGTGAATGAAGGAAAGAATCTTACTGCCTGCACTGGCACCTGTTATGTCAGACAGAAAGCAAATGATCAAAATCAGTAAATAAAGCAAAGAGTGCAAAGTAGTCACTAGTGCGGGGCTGCTGCTCGCTGGCTAAATGGGGTGAGACAAGCGATTTAATCAGTTTCTTCAGTAGTACAGTAGGGGAGGTTGTGACATCTCCCTCATTGGGTTGCTGTGGGAATTAAATGAGGTAATACCTGAAAAGCACTTAGGACAAGGCCAGGAAGAAAGCAAGTATCAATGAATGATAGCTATCATTATCATTATCCTGATCGTAATCATTATTGCTATTCAACTGTATCAAAAGAATGGAGCAGCCAAAGCTGAAGCAGTGAAACGCGGACACTGCCTGCCGGTAAGCCATGGAGTCCCCCTGATCACCACATCTTCTGTATTATCCCTGCATCCTCTGTGTGTTGACATTTGTGCCCTGTTTGCACGTTTCTCCATCACTGTCGCTGGGCAAATTTGATCTCCTCATCAGCAGCTGGCAAACAACGGGCTGCGATCTCAAGTCTTTGGAAGGTCAGCTGAGAGGCAGCATCTTCCTAGCAACAGTTGCCAGGGAAGATTGTGAGAGTGAACTCAACTCTCAGTGGAGATGAAGATATGGAGGGCTGTGTAATTGGCATTTGTTTGAATGGGGTGGGTCACGGGGCTTGCCACTGTGAAGGGCATATGCAATCTCGGGTTAGTGTGCCGGTCATTCTTTTTGTTAGGAGTTCTGGCGGCCTTTTCGTTTTATTTGATGTCATTTCATTTTCCTAAATTAGAACTTAAAATTAACCCGTCCAAAGCTTCCTAATCCAGTTAGACCCAACATCCCACTTTCATAGCAAATATTTTGCAATAGCCCCTTTGCTGTTCTTAAATGGAATTACAGATGTATAAGCTACATAAGTACATAATTTAAAAAATAAATATAATGCCTTGTAATATAAATGATATAAATGAGAAAGTAACAAACTGAAATCAGATGAATTTCAACATGCAAATGCTTGTGACAAATATATTTAGCAGACATAAAGAATAAATCAGATGCTTATATGTAGTTTTGATATATTATCCATGTTTATTCTTTCTCTTTGACATTTTGAAATAAGAGCTAAACAAGCACGTTAACAAAAGGTATGGAATCACCAAGAATTCAATGCTGACAAGTACAGTTAGATCGTGCTGTCCTGGCACTTCCAACACTAGGAACGGCATTGTCACCAGTAACGTGATTTCTCAAAACGTTGCGTGATCTTGGTAAAGCTACAAACAAGACAAAGGACATGCTTTCTTCCATTTACATGGTACTTGTCTTTCTGGAATATGTCAGTGTGTATTAAAACCACGAAGCAATGGCTCGAGTTAATGCATAAAACAGAGTCAGGTTCGAGGTCCAGGTGATCGCCAACACGATTTTTACCTACCTGAAGAAGAGAAAAGTGGGTGAGACATGGCTCAGGATGCCTCGTGGGATACAGGATCCCACCATGCCCTGGGCTCCACCCACTAATGCCAGTAGATCTGTCTCCATCACTGTGACAATCGGAAATGTCCCCACAAACTTCCAAAATGTTCCCTAGGAGCACCAGTAATCTAGTTTCTCTCCCTATAAAGGTGCATAAAAGTGACTTCTTCAAGGGAAAGCCAAGATGACAGTCTGACACTTCTAACTCTCAAATCAAGGATTAGAACAATTAGCTGAAATTTTGCGCGTCCCCCTCACTCCTGGACGTATAAACATCAAGTTATAAGATGTGCTGACATTATCCCTGGTTCGATTTATCTCCCGCTCTGTCCGTTTTCAAAGCCAACCTCAATTTCTGACTGCCAGTAACTTCTCGTCACGGACTAATTTGAGAGCTATTTTGAAGCACTGCTTTTGGCAGAAAAACATTGTTCTTTGGAGAAAAGAGTCATTTCCCCACTTGGTGCTCATTTCCCTTTGGATGGCTCAACAACAGAATCTATCAAAGCCCAGTGAATGGAGAAATATAGAATGGAAACCATGTGGGGCCACGGTGAAGTTCTTATTTCATTCTACGTGCAAAAGAAAGGTGCTATATTGTGATAAAAAAAAATAAATGTATATTTGGTTTTCATCCCCCGTTCCTGGACAGAGCTCCAAAAGCCCGTGGAATTTCTGAGTGGAAGAAGTAAGAGGAATGTCCTTTGTTATTCATAGTAAGTCCCTTTCATCCTACCTGAGTTTATGCTAATTCAGTGATTACTGGATCAGGGGCGTGGCGGGGGGGGAGGGGCGTTGTGGACTGGGAGTGGATGCGGACTGGTTGCCAGGGGAACCAACCTCGGGATTAGAGGGTTGGAACTCTCAGCCCCACCCCCTGACCTCTGAGGAGAGGAGAGGCACCGGAGGTTGAGTTAATCACTAATGGCCAAAGATTTCATCAATCACGCCTATGTAATGAAGGCTCCATAGAAAGAAAACAAAGAAAATCTAACCGAAGGTGTTGGGAGAGCTTCCGGGTTGCTGAACACATGGAGGTGCTGAGAGAGTGTGGACACTCTGTACCCCTTTTCCCATACCTTGCCCTATGCATCTCTTCCATCTAGCTGTTTCTGAGTTGGATCCTTTTATAATAAACCAGTAATCTAGTAAGCAAAGTGTTTTCCTGGGTTCTGTGAGCCACTCTAGCAAATTATCGAAACTGTGAAGGGGGTCTTGGAAAACGCTGACTTGTATTCAAGTGAGACAGAAGTTGTGGGTAACCTGGGGACCCACTACTCGCAACTGACATCTGAAGTTGGGGGCAGTCTTGTGGGACTGAGCCCTTAACCTCTGGGGTCTACACTAACTCGGGATACAGAGTGTCAGAATTGAATTGTATTGTGGCACACTCAGTTGGTGTTGGAGAATTACTGGGTGTGGAAAACCCACACACTTGGTGTCAGAAGTATTCTGTGAGCAGAAGAAAATAGTGGCTTTTTTCATTTAAAAGGTATTGCCGTGTTTTAAGAATGAGTTTTATCATCTGATTTACTTTTAAAAAATTATTAAATGTCATACTTAATATTACCATTATTATTAAAAGAGACATTACTTGACGGATGCCCGTTCAAAGGCAACATCCAGGATGTTAAGGAGCTGGAAACTAGACACTAAGGGGGCCGGCCCAGTGGCACAGCGGTTAAGTGCGCACATTCCACTTCGGTGGCCCGGGCTTGAGCGGTTCAGATCCCGGGTACAGACATGGCACTGCTTGGCACGCCATGCTGTGGTAGGCGTCCCACATATAAAGTAGAGGAAGATGGGCATGGATGTTAGCTCAGGGCCAGTCTTCCTCAGCAAAAAGAGGAGGATTGGCAGCAGTTAGCTCAGGGCTAATCTTCCTCAAAAAAAATTTTTTTTAATTAAAAAATTTTAAAAATTAGACACTAAGGAAGGAGAATAAGGCTGAGTTGGTGTTGTTGAGGAGAGGGGATGGGATAGAAAGATGAGCTCAGACTTGGAGATGCCCACGAGACGTCCATGTGGAAATGCCCAGCAGGCCTTTGGCAATGTCTTCAGAGCTTTGCAATGAAGGGGCTGGACTGGAGACCCAGATTTGGAGGTCTTAGCAAGGAAATGAGAGTTGACACTGCAAAACTAAATTAAATCACCCCCAAAAATATGAGTTGAGTAACAAAAAAAAACAGAGTAAGGAAAGAACTCTCAGGAAAGCCCATATTTGAGGGAGAGAAAGAGGCAGAATACCAAGAAAGGATGATGAAATGGAACAAGCAGGAGAAAAACGGAGTGTTGTCAGCAAAGAAGAAGAGCCACTCAGGAGAAGTCCCTGTGCTGGGAGCTCTAAACACGCGCCATCCTGTTTAATCCTCACAACGACACTAATGTGGATGGTCCCATTATGATCCCCGCTTTACACTTGCGGAAACCACAGCAGAGAAAGGGTAAGTAACTTGCCCAAGAATGCAGAGCTCGTAAGAGGCCTAACGAGAATTTGAAACCAAGCAGTCTAACCACAAAGACTATATTTTGACCTCCAACTAAATTAAAGAAAACTAAGGACTGAATATTGTGCCTTGGATCCATCATTCATAACAAAAGGCTAAGAAACATCCAGGGTTTTGGCTCACACAGCTGAGCCGGGGACGAGGACACCCGCTCCCAGAGAGCCCTTCAGGCAGGGCCAGAGCCGGGACGAGGGCAGGCTCTGTTCTTCCCCGTCATCACAGTTCTTACCCTCATGCAATCCTCAGCACAAGCGTGAAGACGGAAAATTTCTCATTACGGATGACATCGTCTACTCAATAAAGCAAAAATTATTCCCCAAAATAGATCTTCCCAGACAAATGAGTAAACGGGTGAACCAAGAAAACACGTGTCCAGTCTATTATATAGAGCAAATGAATTCACTATTAAAATGTGGAAAGCAAAATTGATTGTATCACTGATACTGGTAATTTCTCGCTCCTAGTCTTAGCAGTCCTGTCATCCACATGAAAACAACATCAATGCCTACATCCTCAGTAAGAGTTTTCCGGCAGGTAAGCAGGAGATGAACTCCAACCCCACCCCACAAAAGAAAACCAAGCCTGGACTAAGTGGTCCAAGCCATCCTGCATCAGTGGTCCAAGCCATCCCACAAGAACGACTTCCTGCCATATTGAATAAAACCATCTTCATAGAAAAGAGATGAAAGTCATTGCTCATCCTCGAGTTTAAGGGATATTAACTTTGTCAATCTCCTCCAGCAGAGGAGAAATCAGGTGATGCTCAAAACCAAAATAACAATCACAGCCCCGCGAGGTGGTGGTGATGGAGGTTAAGAGAAGTGGACAGATTTGGGAGAACCTGTAAGAAGTAATATCACCAGGCCCGGCACATGCATAGAGAGAGAAAGGAGTGTGGGGGATGATATTTCGGTACCCATAGAACTGGGGTCAGTCACTGATTTGGGAAAACCAGGAAAATGACAGATTGAGATGAAGAGATCTCAAGTTTGGTTCCGGACATTCTGAAGTTGACTTGCCTTTGAGACATCCAAGAGAAGGTTGGCAATTGCTCAGGAGTTCCATGCAGAGGTCTGAGTCGAGATACAAACGACTGGGCCATCCTCATGTAAGTGGTACCAGACACCATTCGGGTGAACCAGACCTCCCAAGGGTAAAGACAGAAGGGAGAGGGTGAGAGAGCCTAGGATCCAGCTCTTGAGGAACTCCAACATTTAACGCCAATAGACGAGGGCGATTCTGCAAGCCTGTAAAATCAACAACGTGTTACATCAGGATAGTCAAAGGAAGAGAGTGTTTCAAGAAGGATCTTCACTGTTCAATGCTGCTGAGAGGTCACGAAAGAGGACAGCAAAATATCAGTATTTGCAGTGACAGAAGGTAATTAATACTCTTAGCAAGAGCTGTTTCTGTGGAGTGATGGAGGCAGGAGCAAGATTGCAGTAGGATGAAGAGTGACAGTAAGAAAATGAAGATGTAAGTGCTGCAAAGTGCCCCAAAATATCTCGTATAACACTTTCACATTCCATTACTAAGTTTCTGCGCATGCGCGCACCTGACAGCGGTGGGGGCAGAACCAAGTTCTGCATCCTACACCCTGTCCCTCAGCCCTGGGGAAAGAGCGATGCCCCACCCACACCCCACCCCACCCCATCCCACCCCCGCACTGGCCTCTCTCTGTCCACTTCCCTCGGGGGAGGATACGACAGTAGCACGTCTGGGGGTGCATTACTGGCAGGAAGTGGGGGCCACCTTCTGGCCCCTACACCGAGCCCAGCTGACTGGCAGCTGACTGGCGTTGTGCTTTAATGGAAAGCTTCACTATCTTTTTTCATGTGCCCACTACCTTGAACGTCAGTAACTCTAAAATAACCAACCTTTGGAGCCACTGCTTCTCAAAGTGGGGTTCCCAGAGCAGCAGCATTGGCAGACCTGGGAGCTGGCTTGAGATGCCGAACCGCTGGCCCCACCCCAGACCTGCTGAATCAGAACTTGCATTTTCAGAAGACATCCGGGTGGTCTGTGGGTCCTTTCAAGTCTAAAAGCCTTGGCTTGGAGAATGCATTTATTCCTTATTCCTCAAGACAACCCTATGAGTCAGGCGGATTAGCCCCATTGATACCTGGGGAAACAGGCTCAGAGAGGTTACGGCCTGATGCCACAGAGCCAGAGCATGGAAGAGCCAGGATTTGAACTTCTTAATTGCTGTTCTCTACACCACAGTACTTGCCTCCCTCAGCTGTGAGCTGGGTGAGCTGGCAGTGGGCTGGGTCCCACGGAGGGGCTGGGCTGTGAAGAGGAGCCACCGGCGGGAACTCCTGTCCTGGAGGGCACAGCAATATAAACAGCCCTCTGTGCTGATTAAGGCCCAAGGGGTATGTGCTGGGGGGGGGGGGGGGGAAGGGGGGGCGACACTGGGAGTGAGGGTCAGGAAAAGCTACAGAGGTT